TTCTATCCAGTAGGTACCACAGGAGCCGCGGAGTAAAAACGCGAGTACCGCGAGTTGAAAATGGCCGCCGCGAGTAAAAGGGGGTGGCGCAATCGTGGCAGAGCCCACAGAAGGCGGGAAGACGGTGAAAAAAGGCGCGTATGCTGAAACAAGAAAACGGTCTCCTGGGAAATAGAGTCCGTGCACTGAAGTGATTCTCCTGACGGGAGAGGAGGGAAATAACCCGGTGGGCCGTTTCTGTTAAAAGCAAGAAATGGCCCAGCGGAAAACTGAGAGTGTTTTAAACAATTTAAAGGTGTAAGGTACTGAAAAAAAGAAAAGGTAAAAAATACAACTACAGGTGAAATAAAACTTCCTGAAAAAGGAAGTTACCCTGAGAACAACAAGAACCTGTCATCAGGGTTACCCCAGTACAGGAGTAACAAATAGAAAATTATCAAATAATCTATGACAATTAAAAATTCAAATAGTGAAACTAGGCAACATAATTAGAATAGACTCACCTGGGAGGCGAGCAGCAAAGAAAGAGGAAGTGGGAGGAGTCTGATGGCACTATATTGTACTACTATGTGTTAGGATTGGTTGAATTGGCACTATATTGTACTACTATGTGTTAGGATTGGTTGAATTTTTTACAACCTTTGTAGCAGATGGCACTGGGCTGTCCTGGGAATTGCATATGTTTTGACTGCATTCGTGTAAATGGCAAAGTTATATGTGTTAAATGTATTGTAATCGTCTGATTGTTCAGTAGAATAATTCGAACAAACTAAGGGAATGAAACTACCGAACAGTCAGACCTCCCCTGTGTGAAGTGTGCCTTCAATTACCCGTTGCAACATTGTTTCGAACGGGTAATTGACAAGCTGAGTAGCAGTCCTTTGTTCTCGGGGGTGGCCGCCATTCGGGAAACGAACACGTGGCGGCCATTTTAAAACTCCTGAACAGCGGTGTTTTGCCGTCAAGTGTCTGGAACTCAAATCGGACACTCGACTAGGCGAACACCGCTGAGACCTCCACAAGCCCGGTCCGTTTGGTTCCAAACTACCGAACGGCACCTCGTTCGGTAGACAGAAACAACTGAACGAGGGGATTCAGGCGAACCCTCCCTAGTCTCTGTAACTGGAGGCTTTCGTGTAGTTTGTTCCCTTATTCCAGGACCGACCGCAGGGCCCCATCGCATGGAACCCCATTCGGCTATTCTTTCCAGCGCGGTTGGTCATTTTATTCCCTCCATAAATTTCCCGAACCCCTGGTCTGATCTGGGTGATTTTTGGATATGTTGTTCACCCAGATCAGGGCTACCAGGGGAGGTATAATTTAAAGCGGTACCCCTAGGTTTAGGGGTACATCCAGAAACGGGGGGAATTGGTGTCCTGGATAAAGGGATTATGATGCAGACTGAGGGGAGGAGATGTGTGGGGGGTTACCAGAACAGGATTGGCTACTGTACTAATGAGTGTTAATCCCTCCCTTGCATGGGAGCAGGCTTTATAAGGCCACTGTCTGAATAAATCTTTAGTTCTGCTCCTGATACTGTGTGTCGTCCAGTTATTGGGATTGCTTTGGGGATATTGCTGGATTATTTTACCTGCTGGAAACCTTGCTTTATGGATTGATAATTACTTGTTCCTGAGCCTCACTGGGATCTTAAGCGGAAATAACCTGTGGAATACTGGATCTCCGCTACAATCTTGTTAACTACTTCTTTGCTGCTGGGAGTTACAGTATAGAAAGTACAGCAAATATTCGCGTCCTGAAAACAAAAATTAAATAAGTTACAAATAATGCATATATGATGAGGAAGTAGTACTTACACTACACATGAGCTAGGTACAGAACACAAACATAAATGCAGCAAGCACAACAGCGTGTGGATGATAATGAAAATATTGATTGAAACACTGTCTGCGGTTTTCCTCCGTGTGTCCCTTGGTAAATTCCTAGGATTCAGAGCACTTATTGGAAGTTGGCACTTGATGGACAGTGACACAGAGATGGAATGTGGTCTGTGCTCCCTTTTGTCATATGCTCTCCAGTGACTTAACTAAATAGGGAATTCCACTTAGCCTAGAGATAGTCAATTGGCTATAAAGTTTGACACATGAAATGGAAGGGACTGACAACTAGCAGACTACACTAATGAATCAAGTTTGTCAGATTAAAGGCAAAAATACATAGAATGATAATGCATTGTGAGGATACCTAGTGTGCAGGGGTGCAGGGGTGTGTAACGGATCACCTGGCACCCCGACTGGGTACCTCCGTTGAAGGATGCTCCTAGCACTTCCTGAGGACTCCAAGCACTGCAGCAGACACCAAAACCACCGAACTGTAGGAGCATATGAATGCTCTCAAGCATATGAATGCTGTATACAGCCGAATAGGAAAAACCATGCAAATAAGTTTACACTCCTAGCAGTCAAACTGGAAACTGGAACAGCATACAATAAATCCTCCCCCAATAATGAGACGACACTTCACTTTGAGGGTTAAGCAGGAACTCTTGATATCATTTTTCACTGTAGGGTAATAGCTTCTTGATCCAAGGATAAATCTGACTGCCATTTTGAGGTCAAGGGGGATTTTTTTTCCTAGTTTGTTGCAAAATTGGAAGTGCTTCAAACTGTTTTTTGGTTTTTTTTGCCTTCTTTTGGATCAACAGCAAAAAACAAATGTGAGGAAGGCTGAACTTGATGGACACATGTCTCGTTTCAGCTATGTGAGTATGTAACCACAGACGTTCCAAGGTGCCCTTATCAATAAAAGCATCTGCAGCAAAGGACGCTAGCTGTCAGATACACTAAATGCAAAAAGGAGGGGGCCTGATACCATCTACAAACTACTGTATTCAGGGCCTCCTGCCAGTGAAGACTAGTGGAGAAGGGAATGATCTTATGGCATATAAACCCCAGTCTTTAGGGTTTAGAGTTGGATATGGAGGCTGCCTCCAAGGCTCGCATAAAAGGAGGGGATGGTGTGTGGGACGATTTCTATGTCATGTAGTATATCTTTGACAGTGGTCTTCTCACTTGTTTTTCTGGTGTTCACCACATCTCAAAGAGGTTCAGGTCTCTTTTACACCATGGAGAGAGGACCTCAGTCCTCAAAATACTGTTGAGTTGCATCCAGCTAAAGGATTCTAAGTGTGTAATCTATCTTAAGGCCACAATGTGGGATATAGGTGGGTATCCTCCATCCACCAAAATAGAAGAGATAGTTTGGGAATCATCTCACAGAAGCGTGACCCATCCTTATTGGCAGTGCCGGATTGCTAACAAGGGGGTATTGCAGGGAAATGCCTGATGAAAGGTTATCATAGTCCTACCCTCTCCACAGATTAAGAGTATGCCTTATCAGGTGATGGTTGCCTTGGCATAAATCCCCAATAGGACAGTGAAGTCATGGAGGAATGTGTAGCAAAATGTTGTTCAAGCATATACCATGACCTACAATGATGGCCTCTCGTCCACTCCCATATCCTGGAGAACTGGACAGTCAAATAGTAATGATAGATGTGTGGCATGCTCAATACCTCCTGTTGCCTGGCACTCATAAGGGTGAGATATGACAGTTTTGGGTGGTTGCCTGCCCAAACAAATTATATAAAGGCTTTTTTTTAGAGATGAGAAAGAATGTGGGCTTGATTTGGATATGTCGATTTTATTCATGAGGTAGACATGAGGAAGTCAGCCTGGATGGTGTTGAGGAGTGGGAAACAGTTGGCCCCATAGAGGCCATTAGTGGTGGATATGAGGTGAACCCTAAATACTTAATACTAGATTACTAATCTAAAACTAAAAGCACCCATAACAGTCCTTCGTAGAGAATCTGTGCCAGTGCCACCCGGGTTTTCACTCTTGTCAATATTGACCTTAAAGGGACACTATAGGCACACAGACCACTTTATCTCATTGAAGTGGTCTGGGTGTAGTTTCCATTTCCCTTTAACCCTACAATATAAAACATTGTAATTTTACAGAAATTGCCATGTTTATATTACAGGGTTAAGACTGCTTCTAGTTGCTGTGTGCCAGACAGCCACTAAAGGTGCTTCCTGTTGTTTCACTGAAGTTGACTTTGCATGAGGACATCCAGAGACAAGCAAATCCTCATAGGAATGCATTGATTCCCCCCCAGATCAGCAAACTTTGGCAGAGGAGGAGCGTGACCCCCTGCTGAGGGACATGGCATGGGAACTGGGTAAGTGAATAAAGGTTTATTTTAACCCTTTACATCAGCTGGATGGGATGGGTGCCTGGTGGCAGATTGACACGTTAGTGATAGGAATACATCTCAGTATTCCTTACACCAAAGTTTTCCTTTAAAGTTAGCGATGAAGCCAAACCTGCTCAGCTCCTAAATCGCCAGCGGCAGTGAAACTGTGGGTTACGTAAAGGTAACGAGGAGGTCATCTGCAAATGCTGACACCTTGGAAATTTATCACCCTTAATAAGGTCATTGTGATGGATTGCTTGTAAGAAGGGCACATGGCCAGGACAAAGGGCACACCTGCCTCATACCTTTGTTAATGGCGAAGGAGCGGAAGAGCCAACCATTAACGTGTACATTCGTTGATAGGTCTGTATAAAGCACCTCAACCCTCGATCGCAGCCTTGCCCACATCCCAGTGCCAGCCGGGTACAAAAGGTAGATAGGGCCATCCACCCTGTCAAAGCACTTTTCAGTGTTACCTGCCAGGAGAAGGGTGGGAGTACTGGACATGTGCCCCACAGTTGGCAATTTTCACGTATTATGTTGCACCTCCCTCCCCCCAACAAAGCACATCTGATCATGGAGTACAAGGAGGAGAGGAGTTCCTTAAAGAACTGAACAATTATGGAAATAATATCAGAGCTGGTTTATGACACAACACTTTGCAGCCTTGCACTCAGTGGAGCACACACCACAACAATACACCACAATCACTGGACATTTCACCTCTAAATAAAACAATATATAAACTTGTGTTAACTTTTATTTTTAATAGTTCATTTTATGCTCAGTTTAGAGTATATTACAAATTTAGCAGTTGGGTAAAGTTTATAACAATGATTGCCAAACTATTGGTTGAATATAGGGGATATGTAAGTATACTATTATGAAAAATCCTGGTTAGGGAGACATCCTGTTAATGCCTTTCTAATTGGTATTTAGATCCAATGAGTCATGTTAGGATCGCAGAGGTGTAGCTTTTAGAATAATCCCTAGTCCCGGCCTCTAATAGCAACATTGGTATTGGTTCTTGGTCTGCTCGATGTCTGAAGGTTGAGTTTACACCATGAACAAGGAAAATCTTGTCGTCAGCTAGTGGTTCCCTCAGACTGTACCTTGTCAGCCTAACATTGGGCACCTGTTCTCTAAGGATTTGGAAATAGTGATGGTAGTAGGTACATGACCACATGAGTAAAATCAGGCATACTATAATCTGTAGCAGGAGGAGAAGAAGGATTCCAGAATAGAGTATAAGGTGAAGGAAGCAACAGTATCTGTCAATGATGTCCTCCAGCCATGATCTCCTTTTGCTCATACTTGAGAGCAGATCAGGCAAGTTACTAATTGTGTACAGTGGTATGTCCATCGTCTGTGCGGTTGTAGTGGTGCCTGGTTTAGTTTCCTGATTCTCGGTTGTATTCACAACCATCACAGTTTCTGGGCTACATGTAGGTGTGAGTGCAGTAGAAATGGATGTTATAAACTTTGTTGTATGAATTGTAGTAGATGGAGAGGAAACCTCTGTGGATATTGATGGGGTTGCTTGGTTTGTACTTGTTAACTCTTTGGTTGTCACAGGTGCAGTTGTAGCTGAAGTTGTTTCAGTTTTTGTTGTCATCACTGGTGTTGTTGTCGTTTGGCTTGTGGTCATCACAGGTGTTGTTGTCGTTTGGCTTGTGGTCATCACCGGTGTTGTTGTAGTTTGGCTTGTGGTCATCACCGGTGTTGTTGTCGTTTGTCTTGTGGTCATCACCGGTGTTGTTGCTCGGCTTGTGGTTGCTGCTGTTGTTGTCACTTGTCTTGTTGTCCCCATCATGTTGGTACTCATAGGTTCTGGCATGTCTGGGTCTTCATCATCTTTATCTGGGCATTTCTCAAAGAAGTTCACAAGTGGAACTTTATTAGAGCAGACAACACTACTAGCGTCTTTGTCTGGGGCTCCATTAGTGATGGTGTAGATGTTATCTTCATTAAACTCCACCCACTCTTTGAAGTACTTTAAATTACAATTGCATGTCCACGGGTTCAGGTCTAGGTACACGTAAGCCAAGTCATATAATCCATCGAAAAAATTATCTGGAATTAGTGTTAGACTATTTCCTCTCAAGTATATTCTTGCCAAATTGACAGAGTCAGAGATGAGGAGAGGTGGAACACTCGTCAGCTGATTGAACGATAGATCCAACGTATCGAGTTGATCTAACCCTTTGAAAACCTATCAGGAAGAAACACAAGAACATCAGATTATAATGGATGCCATGGAAAATATGTGTAAAAATGTTACCCAGAGCTATTTCAGATGATAAATGTCTGAAAACATTCAAGTGAGCTGCATAATTAAGTTGCTCTTCACAACCAACATTAGGAATGTCTCATTAAATAAATACCATACAGCCTATCTTCCTTTAGCACATAATTGCAATGCTAGACCTCTGAGTAATATAGTATGGATCTGTTGCCCCATGAGAGACGACCACTAAGCCAGTGGCCCTTGTGAATAAATTGAGCTTGAGACCCCCACTGTAAGGAGAATCAGTGAAATACTGTTTACAGTGATATACGGACATCTAGTGGACGAAAAGCAGAACTCATTTGTTTACAAACTTAATATTTGTCCAGGAAAAAAAAGGGATCTGGTATTTAGCTACAACAAATATTACTTAATGATCATAACATGAAAATTATAACTTATTACAAATTAACACAAGGATGTTCTCTTAAAGGCAATAGGAGGCCTATGCCTATATGGGATGTTTTCAGTGAAGGCTGCAGAATACTCTATGGGAGGATGACTAAGCGAGTTGGTAAATGTACAGGGATGGCCAAGGATGAGATACACAGCTGTTGCAGAACTAAAATTCCTTAATTCTCTTAAATTAAAATTAGATTTGCAGTTTAGCAACAGCTGACGGTCCAACATTAATTGTGTGGGGTGTTACTGTGTGTGGGAATGTAGTGGTGTATTTGTGTGGAGTGTAATTGTGATTGGAAATGTAACTCCATACGCAACACCCCACACAAATACACCACTACATTCCCACACACAGTAAGACCCCACACAAATACACCCACTACATTCCCACACAAATACACCCACTACATTCCCACACACAGTTACACCCCACACAAATACACCCACTACATTCCCACACACACAGTAAGACCCCACACAAATACACCCACTACATTCCCACACACAGTAAGACCCCACACAAATACACCCACTACATTCCCACACACAGTAAGACCCCACACAAATACACCCACTACATTCCCACACAAATACACCCACTACATTCCCACACACAGTTACACCCCACACAAATACACCCACTACATTCCCACACACAGTTACACCCCACACAAATACACCCACTACACTTCCACACACAGTAATACCCCACACAAATACACCCAATACATTCCCACACACAGTAACTCCCCACTCAAATACACCACTACATTTCCACACACAGTAAGACCCCACACATCAACACTCCACTACATACACCAGCTACAGTTCCACACACAGTAACACCCCACACAAATACACCACTACATTCCCACAAACACTGATACCCCACACAAATACACCACTAACTGAGGTTGCTGATGTTAATATAAGTTGCCAAAAATAACTATTAGAACTGAAATATAATGGAGATCGTACAGATACTCCTCACCTACCAACCAGGTGCCATTCTTATGACCCGGTCGTAAAACTAATTGGTCAGTAAGTGAGGATGCGCTACAGAGCATGCACACCAGTGCAGGTCTATGTTCGGGGAAATTTTCCCAAACATAGACAAGCGCAGCAGAGCAGGGAATCCCTCAAATCTATGTTTGGGGAATGTTCCCTGAACATAGATTAGAGGGATTCCCTGCTCTGGTGCGCTTGTCTATGTTCGGGGGAAATTTACCCAAATGTAAACGTACGCACCAGAGCAGGGAATCCGTCTAATCTATGTTCGGAAAAAAATCCCAGAACATAGACCAGCTCTCTAACGTGGGGACTCCCTTGAATCCTCACACTAGAGAGCTGATCGCAAGTGCGAGCCTTCGTAAAACAGGTAGGTCGTAAAGTGAGGACCACCTGGAAATGTAATTTTAACAGTGGTGGGTACCTAAAACTCTGGCAAGATAGAAAAAACTTCAGCGTTATATCCAAATATGTGGAAAATTATATTCCATTTATTGATATCTTTCCTTACCACATATCTTTTCAACAAACAGAGAAACCGTCTGAATATCACTTAACCCCTAAGGACACAACTTCTGGAATAAAAGGGAATTGTGACGGAATATTTCCGTCATGTGTCCTTAAGGGGTTAAAGAGGAGACCTTTATTTATTCTTTATGAAAATCGAGCCAGATGTCAAATATTTATTCTCGCAGCATCAGCCTCATGGATCTCATTAATCATCGGTTAAATGTAATTGCGTTAAACTTTATTGTTTTCACATTGAACTTTCTTTTTCTTTAATTTAATAGCACCAGCGCTTGTGGGGGCCGCATCGATGGAGATGCAGAAATTTATTAAATTTAAATTATATAGGTATAAACATGCATAAAGCAGAAATAAAAAAAAAGATAACTTTAAGTACTTTATTTATTTTACTTTTTAAATACCCTTCCTTTCTAAAAACGTTTCCCACTTATGCAAAATAATTTGCGGCACCGGTGGGCGATAAGGAATTTTACCATCAACAAACATATATGAATGGGCGGTAGGTTATTAAAATGTTAAAGACCCCTAATCTAAATAGTGATCTAAAAAGGAATGATTTTCTTTTATGGTAAATCTCACCAGCTTTTGTAATAGACATTTCAGAAGACCGCCAGTTTGAGACTGGTGCATAAAAGGACTGAAACAAGTCAGTTTCTGTTGGAAAAAGATTGGAGGAGACTCCTCAAAGTATCATCTACACTTTCTATGTCTAATTTCTAACAAATATTTGGCACAATTTATTAACGATCACAAGCTTTTTAAATCCGTTGCTTCTTTTGCACCCTAAACATCATTTTTAAATATACACCTTGTGACAGGACTGGTACAGGTCTCCCAACTGCCACCTTCCACAAAACAGAGCTATATCATTGCTATTTGCCTCTCCAGGCTGTGCCACCCAGTCAAGCGCTCCTTCCCCATGGCCCACGAACACTCGCAGATCAGCCAGAAACCCGCTGAGGCATGGTGCACCTGACCAGGAGCACCCTGTAATTTCTATGGAACTCCTGACCGGATTGTAAAGTTGCTGGGCTAAGGTAAAACTTTGACAAAGGCGTTCTTGGTCCCAGAACCACCTAGTAGGGTGCTTTCTGGAACCATGACAGAGGAGGTGGAAAGCATTGAATGACACCAAGAACTTGAGGGAGCTCCATGTATCAAATGAAAGTACCATCATTTTAGGTGACCGGGATTTCTACCCAGAGCTGTGGAACTCTGAGCTGGATTAGAGGATGGCTGTGGTCTTCCCACTAACTCTGGCTAGTCACCTCTGATCCAAGTGCTTTTTGGGCACATTGGGCGCTCAGAAGAACGCTTCTTGAGGATGGCACTATTGTTGGGATGTGGTCACAGGAACTCCATGTTTTTTGTATTTTTGTTAACCTGGCGCCAAGATGCCTGGCCTCTAATTAAATTATCTGCTCAGGAACAGACACCAAGTTGCTGGGTATGTCGCAATTCTATTGTGCTCCCTGGGGACATCCTGTTAAGGCCCCAGATATGAAAGTGTGACCTGTGTAACAATAAATCAGTTCTTCTTTAACCTTCGCTAAGTCTTTGCTAGTGTTTGGGTGAGCCAGACAGCGATAAGGAGCTTTAATCACTCTGGGCTAAATTCACAAAGGAAAGGGGACTCAGAGGTGACAACCCAGCTACTCGTGGCTTTACAACCACACACCTTTTTTTTCCAACGATCAGAGAATTATAAAAAAAAAATTTCCACCACTTTTAAAAAAAAGAAAAAGTGTTCTTTTCTCTACACCTTCTAAATGTAGTGATCTTAAGAAATGGATAGAATGTTAGAAAACTGGCAGAATGTTATGAAGAAAACTGTCTCTTTTTAGAATCATTTAATAAAATACAATCATAACAACATAACTTAACCCTTCCTTTTCAGAATATTTTCATAATAATTACATATTTCCAATATTGATACCTTCTCAGAGAGTTGCTTGATCCCATTCCCCGAAAGGTGCAGCTCTTTCAGTCCATGCAGACCATGGAAAGCCGTGTCTGGGATAGCCGCAATATGGTTGTTGGACAGATCAAGCTTGATTAAGTTTTTCAGCTGTGAGAGTTTTGGTAGTTGGTCAAATGAATTGTTGGCCAGATTTAGATCCTTCAAACTCATGGGGTAGTCAATCTGAATGGTCGACATGCCATTGTTGGATACATCCAGGGCTACCAGTTGCGGAAGTTTTTTAAAGACTGAGGTGGAAAGGGACTTGATCGAGTTGTAACTTAAGATGAGAACTTCTGTGTCGTCATCAATATTGGTCATGGGGACTGCGGTCAAACCAAGGTGAGTGCAGTCGGTCTCCATCTTGTCGGTGATTAGGCTCTTCTCTTTGGTGCAGGTGGGTTTAGTTAGGCTTTCCGTAACCAGGAGAAGAACGATGACCCCATAATAAGCCAAAGATCTCATGGTGAGAAGGAGGTTTCGGAGACGGAGCTGAATGTAATGTGATCTAAGGAACAAAATTAAGAATACAGAGCTAAAGATTTTATATTCTAGTTCTCTATATTATCATTAACTATGTAATCCTTTCCTCTGTCTCTCACTCCTGTCTTCCTCTCTGTCTCTTTAGACAGTCTCTGTCTCGTAAACATTATGTACCGAATTTTTTTAATTTTGAAAAGGTTTTTGTTCCTTACATACAGAGTTTGTTTTCTTGGGAGAACTTTAAACAGGTTACATTCCCCAGCATTACCTGTTGCCATTTTAATAACGGCAGATAAAGTATCCCAGGATTGTAACTCCCACTAAACTCAGCCAGCACATATACATATACGTATGCCTGTTCTATCCTGACAGTAAAGTCCTCCCATTAACCCTCACCAAATTATGTCTTAATATATCACCAAATATTAAATCCAAGACTAAACACTATCCTAAAAATATCACGTAATAAAAAGTTACACAGTAGTAAAGCGTGTATTACAGAAAATAACGCCACCTTGGGTTTCTGGCTACATTAATAAATCACTTGATGTTTGGTTCTCCAGAACACCTGAGTGGGTTTATTATTTTTCGTTATACACAGATGTTATGCATCCTCTTACACACAATCTCTCTCTTTCTCTAATACACAAAAAGTTTATATTACAGTTTATATTATAGTTTATATTACAGTTTATATTAGTTTATATTATATTATATTACAGTTTATATCACAGTTTATATTTATATTACAGTTTATTTCATAGTTTATATTTATATTACAGTTTATATTAGTTTATATTAGTTTATATTATATTATATTACAGTTTATATCAGTTTATATTTATATTACAGTTTATATTAGTTTATATTATATTACAGTTTATATCACAGTTTATATTTATATTAGTTTATTTCATAGTTTATATTTATATTACAGTTTATATTAGTTTATATTATATTATAGTACAGTTTATTTCATAGTTTATATTACAGTTTATATATTATGTTACAGTTTATTTCATAGTTTATATTACAGTTTATATTATAGTCGGTGCCAATATTGTTATACAGTATTAAACATGCAGTAAATGTGTCTCTGCTTACTTACAGCTCCCTGGCTGGGTCTGTGCCCTGACAATAATCCTCGTTGCCTTCTCCCTGCCAGTCGCTGGTTTTAACAATGTCATTGTGGTCGCCTTATCTCAGGATCCGGCTTCTTCCTCTGACTGTTCCCAATATAGTAATGGAAACCGTAACTGGGAGCAATTGTGGCTTCCCATGTGACATACATAACATTGTACTGAAAGGGTTAAAACTCGCTACCTGTGAATCCCAATTTTGCCTTTAAAGTCACCATGCCAGCATGAGATATCCTACCAACTCCCATCACCCTTAACCCTGCAAGTGTAATTATTGCAGCTTTATAAACTGCAATAATTACCTTGCAGGGTTAAGTCCTCCTCTAGTCTATCAGGCAGCCACTATCAGTGGCTGATAGTCTATCAGGCAACCACTAGAGGGACTTCCGGGTTCTTAAAACACGAAAATGTTTTAAACGACGCTGGACGTCCTAACGCTATGCATGAGGACCTCCAGCGTCACCGAAATCCCCACAGGAAAGCATTGACTAATGCTTTCTTGTGGGGAGGTCTAATGCGCGCACGGCCATTGCCGTGCATGCGCATTAGTTCTCCCCCTGCCGGCTAGCGTCGGCGGGGGAGGAGCCTGACCCAGCACTGAGGGACATCGGCCCCAGATTCAGGCAAGTCACTGAAGGGGTTTTAACTCCTTCAGCAACATGGCATGGGGGGTGGGAGGGAGAGGGACACTTTAGGAACCTGCAGTGCCAGGAAAACATATCCCTTTAAAGGCTGGCTTGTCACAATGTACTATTATTTCATTGGTCCTTAATGGGTTAATCTATTAATTCCTCTATACAATGATTTGGAGTATCTATACTCTGATAATGAACACACCGCTCTGTATAATGATGCTGAGTATCTATACACTGATAATGAACATACCGCTCTGTATAATGATACTGAGTACCCATACACTGATAATGAACACACAGCTCTGTATAATGATACTGAGTACCCATACACTGATAATGAACACACCGCTCTGTATAATGATACTGAGTATCTATACAGTGATAATGAACACACCGCTCTGTATAATGATACTGAGTATCTATGCACTGATAATGAACACACCGCTCTGTATAATGATCTGTATAATGATACTGAGTATCTATACACTGATAATGAACACACCGCTCTGTATAATGATACTGAGTATCTATACACTGATAATGAACACACCGCTCTGTATAATGATACTGAGTATCTATACACTGATAATGAACACACCGCTCTGTATAATGATACTGAGTATCTATGCACTGATAATGAACACACCGCTCTGTATAATGATCTGAGTATCTATACACTGATAATGAACACAGCGCTCTGTATAATGATACTGAGTATCTATACACTGATAATGAACACACCGCTCTGTATAATGGTACTGAGTATCTATACACTGATAATGAACACAGCGCTCTGTATAATGGTACTGAGTATCTATACACTGATAATGAACACACCGCTCTGTATAATGATACTGAGTATCTATACACTGATAATGAACACACCGCTCTGTATAATGATACTGAGTATCTATACACTGATAATGAACACAGCGCTCTGTATAATAATACCGAGTATCTATACACTGATAATGAACACACCGCTCTGTATAATGATACTGAGTATCTATACACTGATAATGAACACACCGCTCTGTATAATGATACTGAGTATCTATACACTGACAATGAACACACCGCTCTGTATAATGATCCTGAGTATCTATGCACTGATAATGAACACACCGCTCTGTATAATGATACTGAGTATCTATACACTGATAATGAACACACCGCTCTGTATAATGATCTGAGTATCTATACACTGATAATGAACACAGCGCTCTGTATAATGATACTGAGTATCTATACGCTGATAATGAACACACCGCTCTGTATAATGATCTGTATAATGATACTGAGTATCTATACACTGATAATGAACACACCGCTCTGTATAATGATACTGAGTATCTATGCACTGATAATGAACACACCGCTCTGTATAATGATACTGAGTATCTATACACTGATAATGAACACGCTGCTCTGTATAATGATACTGAGTATCTATGCACTGATAATGAACACACCGCTCTGTATAATGATACTGAGTATCTATACACTGATAATGAACACACCGCTCTGTATAATGATACTATCTATACACTGATAATGAACACACCGCTCTGTATAATGATACTATCTATACACTGATAATGAACACACCGCTCTGTATAATGATACTGAGTATCTATACACTGATAATGAACACACCGCTCTGTATAATAATACTGAGTATCTATACGCTGATACTGAACACACCGCTCTGTATAATAATACTGAGTATCTATACACTGATAATGAACACAGCGCTCTGTATAATAATACTGAGTATCTATACACTGATAATGAACACACCGCTCTGTATAATAATACTGAGTATCTATACACTGATAATGAACACACCGCTCTGTATAATGATACTGAGTATCTATACACTGATAATGAACACACCGCTCTGTATAATGATACTGAGTATCTATACAGTGATAATGAACACACCGCTCTGTATAATGATACTGAGTATCTATACACTGATAATGAACACACCGCTCTGTATAATGATACTGAGTATCTATACACTGATAATGAACACGCCGCTCTGTATAATGATACCGAGTATCTATACACTGATAATGAACACACCGCTCTGTATAATGGTACTGAGTATCTATACACTGATAATGAACACACCGCTCTGTATAATGATACTGAGTATCTATACGCTGATACTGAACACACCGCTCTGTATAATAATACAATAATAATATCTATACGCTGATAATGAACACAGCGCTCTGTATAATAATACTGAGTATCTATACACTGATAATGAACACGCCGCTCTGTATAATAATACTGAGTATCTATACACTGATAATGAACACGCCGCTCTGTATAATGATACTGAGTATCTATACACTGATAATGAACACAGCGCTCTGTATAATAATACCGAGTATCTATACACTGATAATGAACACACCGCTCTATAGAATGATTCTGAGTATCTATACATTGATAATGAACACACCGCTCTGTATAATAATTCTGAGTATCTATACACTGATAATGAACACGCCGCTTTGTATAATGATACTGAGTATCTATACACTGATAATGAACACAGCGCTCTGTATAATGATACTGATAATAATAATACTGAGTATCTATACACTGATAATGAACACACCGCTCTGTATAATGATCCTGAGTATCTATGCACTGATAATGAACACACCGCTCTGTATAATGATACTGAGTATCTATACACTGATAATGAACACACCGCTCTGTATAATGATCTGAGTATCTATACACTGATAATGAACACAGCGCTCTGTATAATGATACTGAGTATCTATACGCTGATAATGAACACGCCGCTCTGTATAATAATTCTGAGTATCTATACACTGATAATGAACACACCGCTCTGTATAATGATACTGAGTATCTATACACTGATAATGAACACACCGCTCTGTATAATAATACTGAGTATCTATACACTGATAATGAACACACCACTCTGTATAATGATACTGAGTATCTATACACTGATAATGAACACACCGCTCTGTATAATGATACTGAGTATCTATACACTGATAATGAACACACCGCTCTGTATAATGATACTGAGTATCTATACACTGATAATGAACACACCGCTCTGTATAATGATACTGAGTATCTATACACTGATAATGAACACACGCTCTGTATAATAATACTGAGTATCTATACACTGATAATGAACACACGCTCTGTATAATGATACTGAGTATCTATACATTGATAATGAACACACGCTCTGTATAATGATACTGAGTATCTATACACTGATAATGAACACACGCTCTGTATAATGATACTGAGTATCTATACACTGATAATGAACACACTGCGCTCTGTATAATGATACTGAGTATCTATACACTGATAATGAACACAGCGCTCTGTATAATAATAGTGAGTATCTATAAACTGATAATGAACACAGCGCTCTATATAATGATACTGAGTATCTATACACTGATAATGAACACACTGCTCTGTATAATGATACTGAGTATCTATACACTGATAATGAACACGCGCTCTGTATAATAATACCGAGTATCTATACACTGATAATGAACACACCGCTCTGTATAATGATACTGAGTATCTATACATTGAACACACCGCTCTGTAAATGAACACTATACATTGATAATGAACACACCGCTCTGTATAATAATGAGTATCTATACACTGATAATGAACACGCCTCTGTATAATAATACTGAGTATCTATACACTGATAATGAACACACCGCTCTGTATAATAATACTGAGTATCTATACACTGATAATGAACACAGCTCTCTGTATAATGATACTGAGTATCTATACACTGATAATGAACACAGCGCTCTATATAATGATACTGAGTATCTATACACTGATAATGAACACACGCTCTGTATAATGATACTGAGTATCTATACACTGATAATGAACACACCGCTCTGTATAATAATACTGAGTATCTATACACTGATAATGAACACACCGCTCTGTATAATGATACTGAGTATCTATACACTGATAATGAACACACCGCTCTGTATAATGATTCTGAGTATCTATACACTGATAATGAACACACCGCTCTGTATAATGATACTGAGTATCTATACACTGATAATGAACACAGCGCTCTGTATAATAATACCGAGTATCTATACACTGATAATGAACATATACACTGATAATGAACACACCGCTCTGTATAATGATACTGAGTATCTATACATTGATAATGAACACGCCGCTCTGTATAATAATTATGAGTATCTATACACTGATAATGAACACACCGCTCTGTATAATGATACCGAGTATCTATACACTGATAATGAACACACCGCTCTGTATAATGATACTGAGTATCTATAC